ATTATTATTATTATTTTCTTTTATACTATAGCTATTCTAAGTAGAAAAAAAAATTCTCATTAAGGTTTGAATTTTTCCCTGATGATTAGTGGTGTTGAACATTTTTCTTATACATTATTTTGAGAAATGGCTGTTCATGTTATTTCCCAAATTTTGAATTAATTTGTTCTTTTTTCTTTTGATTTTGAGTGTTTTGCAGTTCTTGTATATTCTACAAATAATACCTTGACAGTTAGTTTTCAAACATTTTACCACATTATGTTAGTTGTCTCTTCACTGTGTTGTTTTTTTATTTTGCTGTGTAGAAGATTCTTAGTTTGATATAGTCTCATGTATCAATTTTTGCTTTTATTGCCTGTGATTTGGGGATATTATAAAAAAAAAATCATTGCTTATACTGACATCTTGAATTGTTTCCCTTATGTTTTCTTCTTGTAATTTGATATTGTGTGTTCCTTTAGGCCTTTGGTCCATTTGTAGTTGAATTTTTTTTTTTTTTTTTTATAATAAGAGATGAGGTCTAGTTTAATTCTTCTATGTATGGATTTCTGTTTCCCCCAGCACCATCTATTAAAGAGATTATATTTTCTTCAAGGTATATTTTGGATTCATTCTAGGTTCTCTATTCTCTATCATTATGCTACATGTCAGTTTTAATGTGAATACAATGTTTTTTGGTTTGTAATATTTTTGAGGTCCTATATTATGACATTTGCATCTTCATTCTCTTTGGTCAAGATTTTTCATGGTACTCAGATTTGTTTATGGTTTCAAATGATTTACAGAATATAACAAATACTGTGAAGAAGATTATTCATATTTTATGATTGTATTGAATCTTTGTATTGCTTGGGTAGTATGGACATTTGTAAAATATTAATACCTCTAATCAATGAGAATATGAGGTTCTTCCATTCTTTTTGTGTTTTCTTTAATTATTTTCATTGAGGTTTTAAAATTTTAATTTCCTTGAATTTATGTCTAAATATTTTATTACTTTTGTGTCTATTTTAAATGGTATTAATTTCTTCCCCAACAAGTTTATCATGTTGTATAAAAATGCTATAGGATTTTGCATTTTCATTTTTTACCTTTCAAACCTACTGGATTTGTTGGTCAGTTCTAACAGGGTTTTTTGGTAGTATCTTTAGGTTTTTCTATATATAAAATCATGTCATCTGAAAACAGAAATAATATTATCTCTTCCTTTCTTATTTAGAGGCCCTTTATTCCTTTCTCTTGCCTGATTTTTTCTGGCTAAAATTTCCAATTGTATGTTAAATTTAAGAGTGGTAAAAGTGTATAATCTTGTTTTGTTTGTAGTCTTAGAAAATTATTTCGGTTGATTCCCATTGATTATGAGGCTAGCTGTAGCTTTGTCATTTATAGTCTCTATTGCATTGAAGTACTTTCCTTACATATCTAATTTCATATGAAATAATGTTAAACAAGTCAACAATTGGTTTTTAGGAATGTTAATTTTTGTAGAGAGGGGTACCAGGAATTGAATTTAGGGACACTTGACTACTGAGCCACTTCCCTATTCCTTTTTTGTATTTTACTCAGACAGGTTCTCACTGATTTGCTTAGCACCTCCATTTTGCTGAGGCTGGCTTTGAACATGCAATCCTCCTGCCCCAGCCTCCTGAGGTGCTGGGATTACAGGCTTGCACCATTGCACCTGGAAGAAATGTTAATTTTTATGTGTTATTTGGCCTGTATTAAAATATCCTCTATTCTCTTCTTCCTTTAAATTCTAACTTGAGCCTCATTTCATCTTCTGGCTACCACTCAATTTCTCCTTCTCCTTTTAGTTAAACATCTTGAAAGGCAGCTAATATTGACTATCTCTATTTCTTCATTTTCAGTATACTTCTTAATTTAATAAAATCTGATGTTTACTATAAATGATTTACTAAACTGGTGCTTGAATTTTTACTTGTTTATATTTATTATTATGTAAAAATAATTTTTTGGGGGGTGGGTTGTATGCATTATTAAAGGCATCACTGTCAGGAAAGATTTATCTTCCACAAATGGCTTAAGAATGATCAGAATTTTACTGTGTAATTTGTTCTTCAAAACAGTCAGTCTAATTACTTAATGATACAATAGTCCAAAATTAATTGAGAGTCTTCTATTACCCTGAGAGATAAAAATACTTATAATGTCTTATGTCTTTCTCATAAATAAGGAATTATAAACCTTGTTATAACCCTTACTTGACATTTAGATAAAGGAATTAATAATGTTTTGGTGAATTCTTGACATACTAATAAAATAATATGTTTACAAAGAGTGTAAGAGGGTAAAATTTAATGTGTTTATAAAAGTACTGATTGTAATTTTGATATGCTATAATACCATATAATACCATAAATGCCAACTCTGATATTTATTTTTAATATCAGGTACATAAAAGTAGTTATGCTAGCCTACTAAGATGCTTATTAATGAATAGAGAAGGGATGACTGAACAAAGGATTTGTATTATCCCCAATTTTCTGACCAATTTACTAACAGTCAATTGATGCTAGTACTCCACAATTTTCTCCTACAGACTGAAGTGAAATGACTAATCAGGAATTTAAGTTTGGAAGCTTCTTTGATAAATCTGTGATAATGACTTTTACCTGTCTTTTTTTGTATTTTAATAAAGTGTGAAATATTTTGACACCAACAATCTATCAAACTGGGAAGTGTTTTTTCCCCCCCTTTAATTTGGAACTTTCTAGTCTTAACTGAATTAACTACATAGCTTGGACTAAATGAGAAAATATAAAAAATATCTTGCAATTTTGTAAAATGTAAATCCAATTCATTTAATTTTATTTTACAGACAACATTATAGGCATATTGTAAAAATTCAAGTTAATTAAACTAAGAACAATCACTATGGAAGAACAACTCAACTAAATATAAGATGAGAGAAATTGAATTTTATTTTTTCTTGAGATTGTTTTCAGGTTTAAATACAGTTTTGATTTTTTTTCAAAAATAGATATGAGACAATATGGGCAAAATCTTAGAAGTTGTAATTATGGTATGCATGGGATAAAATTGCTTCAAATGGCTATAGGGAAATGCATTGCAAGGAACATATGGGTTCAACCACATAGAAACAGCTTTGGAAAGGAAACTGTGCTTCTCAAAATACTAAGATAAAATGCTTAACTTGTTCATGAATGTTATCATTCTGTCATTTATCCAGATATGGTAGAAATTTGGAGGCATTGAAGAGTGATAATTATGAAAAGTCAGGGAGGGATAATTTCTGGAAAATAGGTCCTAAGTTAAATTATAAAAGATGAATGGGAGAATTGAAAGGTAGGGAAGATCTCAATGAACAGTGTGAGCAAAGCCCAAGAAATGGAAACTTGGGATATGAGGAAGTCCATCTGAGATGCATAGAACATTGTCAGAGAGAATGTGAAATTAAGAACATATTGACAATGGTGATATTATTCAAGAACTTGAAGGTATGCCAAAAAAGTGGTATTTTTTCTGACCATAATGAGAAAGTACACAATTGCTGAAGAGTACAGTGACATGATTAGAATGGTTATTTTTCAACAAGGCACTGAAAAGGTTAAAGAGGGGAGTGAGAATAATCTAATAACAAATGGTGCTTTAAAATTTAAATTAAGCATTATAAGTTTCTGTAAGAAAAAATGAACTATAGTCAAAGATCCAGAAGCAATCAAAGTGATGTAAGAACAGCTTTTCCAATGAGTTGCCTAACATACTTCACCTGTCAATTTATATTCAAATGAAGTTAACCCTCAAGCAGACAAAGCCAAATCTAATTTAAAGGCTGCAATTCAGATGCTAAAAGGAACCATTTATAAGTATCTAAAACCAATTACAGGGTAATCAATTAGCAACTGTCATTACTGCAGAAACCTGTTCAAAGTGTCTTTAATATATTCAGTATTTACTAACCTGAAGTTTGTCCTGGTCAAGCCACTTAAAATAGGAGTTTTTAGTTTGTTAAGTATTAATGTGAAACATAATTTCTCCAATTTTGTATGAATAGAAAAATATTGAACTAAAATATATTTAATTAATTTCAAAGGGAATGAAAAGATTAAAGGCTTTATAGTATGTTTAATGACCAAATTATACTGATTTTTCTCCTATAAAGTAGGCATGTATTTTTTAAAATAAAAAACCTGGAGATAAAAATGACCTGCTAAAATATGGATTATCATATTAATTCCATTTATTTTTCTACGTGTCTAAAGTACAAATAATAAATGACATTAGAAGTGCTTTAAAAATATTTTCTGGTTTATTGAACTAAACAAAACTTAATAGATTAATAACAGTTTTTTGTTTGTTTGTTTTAAAGTTAAGACACATCTTGGCTCATGGATTTTAGTTAAAGGGGAAAACAAACAAACAACCCAAACAACACATAACAATAATAAAAGTCCTCTCTAATAAAAGCAAGAAGATTGCTTTTAAGGTGTTTGCTAATTTGGTCAGCATTTTTGTAGAAGAATTCAGTAGTTATTTATATTAGTACCTTCAAATTAACAGAATCTCAGATATTTCATTCCAGTTTAGCCACCTCGGCCACCTTGAATCCAGAGTCAGAGGTAGAACACTACAAAACATTTCTTTCTTTGTGATTGACAATACCTTTTAAGCTTAAAAAATTGTCTCTCTAAATAATTAGACCACTGCCATTCTCAATTTCTTTGAGAATTACTAACTCCTATTTTGCTTCAGTAAGTATATAGTAGATTCAGGCACCAAATTTTCTAAGATGATCAAAAATGAAAAATTTGGGGGTCAGCTGAACTTTTCCTATAGCAATGTGAATCAAAAATCACCCATAATACATTTCTTCTAAATACCATTCCTAAAAATGTTTTCTTAGTATTTCTAAACAGGCCTATTATTATGAAGAAATAGCTTATTAAAAAAAAAACTTACAGTATATAGTTAGTTTGACCTATCAACAAAAATGATACAAAGAGCAGGCAGGAACTGACCTCGTTCACAGTGGCATAGTAGCTTTCATGTTTGAAGGTGGGTGAGTTGTCATTCCTATCCCTCACCACAATTCTCACTTCATGGTAGATGACGGTGCCCACTTTCTTGTTGATGCATTGGACTTGCACCACAATGGAGTGGATGTTCATTGGTGGCTGTAATGTAGATGGTACAGTTTGTGAAAACCAACTGAAATCAAAACTTCTCGTCATTATCAAAACATGTTCATTCAATACAATTTTTTATACTTGATAATTTTCAAATTAGAATAATCTAAAAACGTGACAGACTTTCTATTATTCAAAAGACTGGAGAGGACAATTGCAATAACTTCATTGCTTACTTTTGTATCTCAGATATAGGGCTTCAAGTAGTGCTACACTTCAGGTTTTACTGGTGCTTAAAACCATAAAACTAATGCTGAGATGTGATAAAACAATTTTTTTTTCCCTAGAAAAGTTAAAGAAGCAATGATATAAACTAATTTTAATAAAAATGCATTAATAAATAAATCCTTGGATAAAAGATTTTGTGTAAATATTAGTGTTCATGTAAATTTTTATTATAATATATGCTCTTTACTGATAAATATTAAAATATAGTCAAAAGAAGAAACATCACTCACAACCCAACCAAACTTTCTCACTCAACACAGTTACATGCTCATTTCATTCATCTTTTCCTTTTCCGAATATATACCTATCACATACACACACACACACACACACACATACACACACACAAATATCTTGTTTGTTAATAGAGATTTACTAAAGCAGTTTTATGTAATGCTACTATAAAGTTATGTTATACAATTTTACAGTACTCCATTATAAGTTTGTAGCTTAATTTATGCTATTTAAAATAATAGAATGAGAGATTTAAAACTATCCATTTTGTCATTATAAATAATATTACAATATTTCAATACATACTCCATATAAATATATGCTCACTTGCCTAATTACTTTTTATGATAAATTTTTTGAAGGGAGAAAGTGTCATTAAAGTGGAACTTGTTGACTCAGGTCCCTGTGGGGCTGGGATGAACACCTGCCATGTTTGAATCCAGAGTCAGAGGCAGAACACTATAAAATATTTCTTTCTTTGTGATTGCAAATGTCTTTTAAGCTTAAAAAAACTCTCTCTAAATAATTCAGTTTTATCAGGATAGCATTATCACCCCTGGGTTCTATCACTCATACCAAAATAATAATAATAATAATAATAATAATAATAATAATAATAATAATATTAATAATAATAATAATAACAACAACAACAACAAAAACCCAGCAACAACATATCTGGACTGTACCATCTTAAATACTGTGTCTCCAGCCTGCCTTTCCCTTTCAACTTCCTCTGCCATTATTTACTTTTCCACATTGCATTTCTCATCCACAAGTTGGAGTATTATATACTTTATATATTTAGTTCAGTTTGTGTCCTTTGTCTCATAAAACCTTAGGCTTTGTTCTACCAATAGCTGTCACTATGTCCAGTAACTAGCATTGTTCCTAGGACAGATGAGTGGATGTTATCAGAGTCATATGACTTGGCTTCTCATTCCAATTCCAGAAACTACTAACTGTATGATCCATGGAAAATTAAAAAACCTCTCTTTGCTGAGTTTGTTGAACTCTAAAAATAGGGATATTAATTACACTAATATGATAGAACTGTAAATATTACATGGTATTATACCAACTGAGCACATAAAAGCATATGATGAATATAAACTACATTTTTATATCTAAAAAGATAAACTTTCATTATCTTTATCTTATCATTTCTTTAGGTGAGTACATTCAGATCCCTTGTAACTATGTTGAGATATACAATGCATTATTGTTCAATAAATTTACCCTTCTGGCCGTAGAATACCAAAACTCATTCCTCCTATTAAATAATAGCATTGTACCCATTGATCAATCATTCTATTTCTTTATTTTCCACTAGTTTTCAAAGTCTAGGATAATTTTCATGAACTGATAACTACCAAACATATACATGAATAGGAGCTAATAATTTTGGAATATAAGATAAATTATTAGATATTTGGATTAAACCAAATTAAAAATATACCAATGACCACTGGGATCGGTTCATTAAAAATATCACGTGCCACATTTACAAATGAGAAAAATACTGTAGAAACTGCACCTAAATTTAAGAAATGCATTGTTTAATTTAAAGATATTTAATGTTCACTAAAAAAAGATAGTTTATTTGTACATGCCTGAATTACTGTATTTAGAAATAATAAATTGAGACATAATTAATATATAGAGGAATATCTCTAGTTAGATACCACAGAGTTCTGTTCTGATATCTACCTCATTTCACTTTTAAAAATTAAATATAATGTTATGTATAAAATCTGTGAAAATCACAAAGCTTAAAAGAATACATATGTGTACATATATGTAAACATCAATAACAAAAGGCAAGGCTCAAAGTTATCTTAGTAATTAAAAGTATTAGGTTAAAATGATAATTTTTTATATTAGTAAACATAAATCCTCTAATTTGTTATAGAAGTAATGTAATCTCTCAAATATAATAAATGAGTGTGAACATTAATATAAACATGTAATAAAATTTTGATGTTTAAAAGCTGATTTTATATATCAGCACCTTAAATGGCTGCTGAATCCTAACACAAATATAGGTGCAAATATGGTGGCTCACTAGAGGAAGTGAAGTTTGAACACTGAGCATATATTATAAAATTTGAGAATGATGAAAAAAATTCCAGATAACTAGATGGCATTATTAAAAAAAACCTAATAGTTTCTTTATTATAGTTTCAGAGAACAGAAATAAGAACAATGAATATAATGCACTCAAAGCATATGCTTTCAATACGATTAGAGGTTTTTCTCTTAATCCAAAGTAGCACAGAATAGAATGTACTAGCCTATCAAGCAAGCTTCATCACTGAAAATATGCAAGCGAGAGGATAAAAGACCATTTTAAAAGACTAGATCTTAAAAGATTTTGGGAAATAATTTGAATTAAATGACCTCTATCTTTACTAATAGTTTAAAAACATTTGCACTAACAGATGTTTTTTAAAAGGTTCCATATATTTTAATTGTAAAGTAAAACAGAATAAATATTTGTGCTGTTAGCCCCTAGCACAACTCTTGGAAACAATCAAGTGAATTATGTTCTTCTAAACATTTCAGGAGAGATATATAAAACCATTCCATCTCTACTTCTAATTCTACATTGAGTGGTTGCACTGGGACAGAAAGGTCACAGTCTTTTCAAACTGGATCAACTGCAGTATGCACTGAGTCCCCCTTAGTCATGCTAAGTACCTATAAATTAGACATAACTAGGTCACCTAGAGTTGTTGACACTCTCAACTTTAGCTCCCTGTGCAACTCTTAGTAGCATAGATGGAACATAGCAGGCAATAAATCCCAGCCACAAAGGATTATACTGCAGTTAAGAATTCCCTGTGGCTAATATAGAACACAGTGTAATTTTACATTGGAATAGATTCTATTCTGCTGTATAAGAAGATACAGCAAGTACAGTTCTCCTAAGTCAATTAGAGTTTAGAGATGCCAAAGTGCTTAGGAATGTGTTGGGGGAAATTTTAGTTTATTTTTCATAAGTGGAAAAGGTCACAGTAATTTTATCTTTTTAAATTCTTTTAAATTTCTTCATTCATGAAACAAAGATAGAAAAAAACTATATATGAATCATGTTCAGGTAATCATTTTAAAACAATAACCATTCATATATATGTAGAAATGCACATTGTCCTGCTAATTTCAAAATAAATGCTAAACATAAAACTCTGAAAGTAAACTAGCATATTCAAACATCAGTGTATGTATGTGTAAAGGTTTTGATATATGTATCAGGAATGACACATCAATGGCTAATGAAGTTATCTTTAAAAAGTGGTTCTGGGAGGGTAAAGTTAGGAAGACATTTTCCAAAAATACATATAAATTTTGTAATATAAAAGAACAAAAAAATGTTATGTTTCTCAGACTATTTAATATACAAAGTGAGATATTTTGATGTGAATAATGTAGATTATAACACTCTTCTGCAATTTAAAGTGAATTGAGTTTTTCCTAGAAACCACATTATTTAGGAGGCTTAATGAATTGGAAGCTCATTACTTGGAGAAGGATAGTTTTTGAGCAAACCAATAAGAATTCATTTTTTTAATAAAACCTAGGCAAAGTATGTTGTATAGGAGTGAGTGGTTTTGTCATGATTTTTCTTTGTATTTACTAGCTTTACAAAATGAAGAACTTTCATTATTTTACATATGGAAGAAAGTAAAAGAATTTGAGACACAGTGTTTTCTAAAAATGTTGTTTTCAATGAAAAAGTAACTTAAATGACTGGATAGAAATGTGAACATCCTTAACAAATTAATTTTCACATTGAATAACAGGTTATTTTCAGAAAAGGCCTAGAGAAGAACGAAATGATCACAGAATATAATTAGATATATTGCAATATGTAGAAAAACTTATAGTTTTTTCATAATAAATTAAATAGATATTCAGTTTGTTTTATTCTTTAGTAGTAGGTATTTGTTATGTGCAAAGTTCCATATTGGTTGGGATTAGATTAATATGACCTAGTCCTTGGACACTAAAACAGTTCCTAAAAATTGATATTAAATGAATATAAAAAATTATGTTGAAGGTACAATAAAAGACTATTGAAGGTTATGGAATATAGACCAAGAGATGACATATCAATGTTACTATTAGGGAGTAGGTTTTTATATAAAATACCCTTTAAGATATGCCTTGATAGTAAATAACTTTTAACTTACTTTACTAGACAAAGGTAATTTCAAAACTAAGTTCAAAAGAAAGCAAAATCCTAGATTGTACTTAGGAGAAAGCAATTAAATTCAATCTGTACTCATGGTAAAAATAAGAATTCATACCCCATTTGAATCAAATGTATGATATATGATATGTCAAGATCATTTTAATGTTTTGAGTAACCAATAAAAAAAAGATTAACAAAAAAATTCAGTTTTCTTAGTGTAATGTATACATTTTTTAAGTAAAAGAAATGATAAAGACTGAATATGACTTAACTATAGAAAACTTTGAGGGCCAAATAAAACAGTTTGCAATGAAAGGTTAGTTCTTGACAA